GCACCAGAGTTCRCATGAGTGTATTCACACCTGCACAAAAGGTCCGGACCAACGCTGGAAACGAACTCTGGTTCGTTTAAAGTGGAGCAAATTGTCAGGTCTGAATACGACCTTAGAAAACGTTTACATTTATATCCTTCTCATAACCTTAAATGAGCGTCTTCCATGTTTCTGTCAACACTTTACAAAACACATGGTTCTACCAATAAGCAGCAACATGTTTTCCAGCCTGACTGACTGTCTTCAGTTTTGTCAGAGTTCTGTTAACCTTCAGGCAGAAAAAGGTCACACTGAGGTACAGGGGCTTAAGCTTTAAATAGAAACATTTCACAACTCTTTTCCATTCATGCCTTGTGGTAAAAAAACAAAACCATTGCAGCTGATGTTGCTCAATATTTAGCCGCAAGAGACGTTTCACAAATAAACCTCCAGGAGTGTTTCCTGCAGTCCAGACAAACGGTTCCAGTGAATCAATACCTCATAACATTACGTTATATTTCTCTCCAATTCCAGCATCACCTCCATCTACATTTTCCCTCATTTCTGATAACACTCTGAATTCTTCGAGCCCACATCTTATCTCGGCTTCTCTCTTCATGACGCACAGAGTGGAGCAAGGTCGTGGGCTTTCTGTGCAACAGTGGGACGACGTCCTCGAAAAAGTCAATCTCGAGATAACTCCACAAATGTTTCAAATGTTGCTGCGCTCAAAGGCAAAAAAATAAATAAATAAATAAAAGATGGAAGGATGGATGGAGCAGAAGGAGGGATGGAAAAGACATGAAGTGCCATTCTTTATGTTTGTGTTTTGATTTATTGCTCCTTAGTTACAAAAGACATACCGAGCCTGTGCTGACCTTTACTTCACATGTTTGAAACTGAGTCTGCTACAAAGATGCACAACCAGGTGTCAAACCGGATTAGAAGGAAGGACGCAGCTGACAAAGAGTTAGAGAGGAYGTGAGGGAGGGTGGGCACCTCAGTTGGGAATTACCACATTATCAGCTGTATAATGGAGGCCGGCGGTGGCAGGGGGAGATAAATACTGAAGCACACAACCAAGTCCTTGTTTTCAAGGCAAAGTAGCTTGAGCAATCAAGGTGTGGATTAATTTCCCTCCCTTCCCTATTAATTCCACAACAACAGAATGACTCTCCTTGTTTGGGCTTCTCCTGTGTCCGTGTAATGAAAGCTGTTTTCTATCACTGAAATCGCGCTGCAGCTTCACAGAGAGCACCAGAGACACTGACACTCCCTGGAAGTGAGCCATCACTTTCCTTCAATCACCCCAGCATGTAAGGCTGTGAATCTGACGGACATCCGTGGTGGCACGCTACCCCCCCCCCCCCCCACCGCCCTGAACACCAATAAACAAACAGAGCCTCCCCAGGAGTCCCCCAGGTGGTCTGAGTCCACTCGCTGACTGAAGCATCATTCAACGATGGCTCAAAAGAAAGACGGTCCACCCATCCCTCATCCTACCGTCCCTCCTGTCCTCTTCTCCTCGCCTGCCCTTTCCACTCTTTGATCCACCTATTTTCGTTTAGCGCCTCTCTCATCCATCTTGGGGGTTCTGTCCTTCCCCGAGCTGCAGATGAAGTGAAGCGCTCTGGACGTAATCCCTCACCTGGCTCTCCCCGCTGAGGCAAATACATTTTGGAGGCCTGCTTTATAAACGATGAGCCATTAGACTCACAACCGTCTTTTAAAAATCCTTTAAAAGTTGTTTTTGTCTTGTGCTTTTGTACACATGCTCTCTGGTAAAGACAGATTGAACCCAGCATTCTAGAAGTTTATTCTGGCAACACAATTCATCCACATATTTACCACAAAGTTATTGGCGTTAAAGCTCCCATTAACAAAACGGAAAAAAGTTATAATTGTTGTAAATAGTTTTCTTAACAAACTCAGTTTGGATATATAGAGTATGAGCTATGAGTCTGACTAAAACCAAAGTGGACAGATACCATCTAACAGGACCAAAGTCAAAACCATTGAAGTGGTTCATGCAGACGCTCTCTTATAAACATTTGCTCTGTCGTAGCTTTTGCATTGCAGAGTTATTCTGGCAAAACATACCAGGATGTGAAGCTGATTATATTGGTTTGCTTTGATGGGTTGTCTCAAAAMACATTCATCAGTGGATAGAAAATTTCTGCTTAAGTCAACGTAATAACATCTGCCATGACTTAGCATGGTATKCCAACCTCACCTTTATTGTGAAATCTTTTTAAATTGCTGCAAAAGCTTTAAAACTGTGCAAATTATACGTCTTCTGGACGTCTAGTTTAACGTTCAGCATCTCTGCTATGTGATGACACACTTATTTAATTATGCATAGCAGTAGGTGATGACATTAACAGTCTTCATCCAGTTTATTTTTTTTTTTTTTGAAGTGAGACTCCACTATGGTGACATTCAACACTGTACATCTTACCACAGACACTTATACGAATGAGGGAGGATTCATTGAGTMATCATTCTGCAGTTTTCCATGCAATGCAAATTTGACACCAGTCCTGCACGGCTTCTTTCACTTTTATTTAGTTTTTTAGATTGTTCTGAGCCCCATTTCTGCACTTTATTCCTCTGGTCCAGGGACAGGCAACTGCACTTTTTTTGTTGACACTACCAGAAGACCACATAACACTGCACACTTAACCAAATGCCATTTTAACTTTGTTGATGTATATATACAGCATATATGTGTTTATTAAACCAACATACAGGGCAGTATAGAGTATAGAGTATAGATATTGTATGCTCAAATGCATGTATAACAGTTGTACTCTTGTTTAATAAATACAAAATGTTTGAAGCAAACATAAAATAAACATTTGTTTATTTTAGTGAGCTGAAGTGCAATGACATAAGATGCCTTGAGTGCAGACTCCTGCATGGTCGTGGTTCTGATGAAAAGTTGCTGTTGTTTATGAACTTGTGACTTCAGTAATTTTGTCATATTTAGCTTTGTGCAACGTACTGTGGTGGTGACTCCAACTACTCTAAAGAATCCTTCATGGACACAATGTCTAAACAGACTAAAACAGGTTTGCCTTTAAATTATGTGAACAGAATAATTAAAAAACGTTTAAAAACGTGGGGGTGGGCTCATTGACGGGCTGGATGGAAGCCATCCACAAGCTGGCTGGGTGTGGTCTGTGGGCTGCCAGTTGCCCATCCTTTCTATAGCCTTATTCACAAACGGTACACGAACGTTTCGATGATTTAGGTTCGAAAATATTTAGCAATTAAACTATTTAATTTTCATGATTTGTATCAATTAACTAAATCGTGCCTTTCAGAATTGAGAAATTTTGTGAATTGTGGCGCTTTTATTAAAACTAACGAACAAAAATAYGCCAAAACAAATAAAGGGTAAATCCAGTCAAAATGTGACCAATTTCTTTGCTCTCATTAGTAAATGCATTTGCGTTTCTCTCTMTATTCATCCTCTTTGTGTTTCAAGCATTAGGAATCAGTTATAGCATGCAGCAGAAAGCACCTGGACTCATCCTGATAATATTACAGCTCCAAGTGCAGTGGCTCAACATACTGCACTTATTGCTGCCTCTCAACTACAACAGGAAGGGATAGCATTCCACCATCCTATGGGCTGTGGTCAACCACAATTTCTGGTAAGTATGACTTCTGGGAAAACTGTTTCTTATTTCTGGCTGGACAGGATAACCCTTCTTCGCAGGACTGAAAGAAAACTGTGCAGGCTCCTTGCCCTGATGCTTACGTTTTAGAAAATCGGAGTGCTCCTGGTAGGTAAATCTGTGGTTTTTGAACTTATTTCTGGGCCGCTGCAGAAGTCTGACCACAGCACATTCAAATGCTTTTTTTCCCCCATTAGCGCTGAATAGAAGTAAAGCCGAAAGATATTTCCTACAATTTGCAATTTGTTTGACTCAAAACCAAATTTTTATTGGACCCAATGTGCCTATTGATTTGCTCAGTGGGAGAGCAGCTCACTAACCACTTTATGTCACCTCACATTGCTTCACTTTGTTGCATAAAAATCTGCATAACTCTGCTCGCAGAGGTACACTGGCGCAAATATATAAACCTGCATGAAGAGACTTGCYTTTAGGAGACCACCAGAACTGGACAGCTTCTAAAACAAGTGGCACTATTCCTCTTTTTGATACAAGGACAGAGTTTGCTGGATAAGTCCTCTTAATTACCTCCTTTATTAAAGTCAGAGGAAGTCCATTCTRCAGTTTTTTGTAATTGCACAAAACACTCTGCTTCGCCAGGTGTGGAGCTTAAAGTGCTTTTTAAAATCTTCATGCAGATTCTTTAAGAGCAACACTGAGAATAAACTACAAAAAGCAAAGGTTTGGCTTCAAATTYGAGTGAAGCTGTTAGAGGCTCATTTTGACTCGGGCCTTGTGAGGAAGAAGTATAATCACTAACTGGGGGGAAACTAGAACCGGCAGCCCCAATACCAGTGAGGCGATTATGCAAGTGTTGGCATCGTCTGAGTGCAGATCATCATAACAACTGTAATGAAAGTCAGGGACAGAGAGAGAGAGAGAGAGAGAGAGAGAGAGAGTGAGAGAGAGAGAGAGAGAGAGAGAGAGAG